ACTGTTGGCCCTTTAGTAATTATCCTGAAATACTTTTCCATCTTTTCATTCTAATGCACTGGCTGCTTGTACTGTCTCAACCGGAATTCTCTAGTTTGGAGTGGAAATGAGAGTATGATCCATTTTCAGAACAATAGAGATTGACACCTATGTGATAGGTGGTGGTGGTGGTTGTGTGCCATGGGTCGGTTCTGATAAATAGTTTCTTCCTAGTGACTTAGGGTAGGGCAAGTGACAATACTAACAATGTGAAATTGCCAATACTGAGACGTTGTTATTCATAGAACAACTTAAATAGTAACCTCTGCCTGAATACAATATGAATCCTGTAGGGAAATGAGGCGGTAAAATCATGTGAATCTGTTCATCACAAATATATTTTTTTCTAACTGTAGAATAGTTCTCAGCCTAAAAGCCATGCTAATATCCTAGACTCAGGAATTAACTCCTGCTTAGGAAAGTTCTTCCTTCTGGCTTGTGTTTTGTGTCCAGAGACATTGTCTGGTACTAGGACAACTTACAAGTGTTTTGCTATAATACATACTTAAGGTTCAGTCTCACCTAAATCAGTCATTTACTGTTGGTATTGCTGCCTATTACAGCCAAAGTGATTTCTTTTAAAACAATCCAAACAGAAACAGTGAGAAGTGTCTGTGTAATTTCTGAGAGGCATGTCATATCCCCGAGTCGAGAAGGAAGCCGGCAGTCTCACTGTTCTTCCCTCTGCCTTGGATGATCACTGGTCTTCATTTTTTCTATTTCAGAACCAGTTGACATAGCTCAGTGGTTGCCATCTTAGCTGCACATTAGAATCATCTCGACACTTTGAGAAGTACTGATGCCCGGTGCCACCACCAGACTTTAGATGTAACTAGTGTGCTGTGCAGTCTGGGCTTTAAAGGCTCTCCAGATTATTCTAATGTGTTGTCAAGGTTCAGAATCACTGCTTAGGTAATCCTTAGGGGTCTTAGTCCTCTTTTTGACATAAGATACCTTTGTCGATAGCCTAGACAGTGGCTCTCATTTTAAAGGCCAAGGTTCAAGTGGTAAAGCAGACCATCTAATCCTCAGAATCATTCTGAAGGAAGAGAATTGCCTCCATCCAGTGTCCTTTCTTGACCAAATGCAAAGTGTGTGTAAGTAAGCAAAACTTCATTTTCACAGACCAATCTCTAGAACCCTCTTTGCTTTGTATATGTAATGTAAGTAAGGAGCAGTTTTTCAACTCTGCTAGATTAAATAGAGTACCTGAACTTAATTAAAAACCCCACCCTTCTATGGTGATTTCCATTTGTAAAATTAACAGATAATATTGTAAAAGTTACTGGAGAAAAAGAAGGATCCTGACTAAGGAGATCAAGATACATTTGATTATTTGTCTATTAGCCTGTCTTCTAAGTGAGAATTCAATGTAAAGTGACTTTCACTTTTTGTTGATTGTTTCTTTGTGAATGAAATGCACTAGTTACAGCCTAAATACTTCTGAAGTTTATATGAAATGTGAAATGAGTCATTTTAGCATCTTTATTCCAGGGTGTCAAAAACTTAACCCAGTAATCTTCAAATGAGGTTCTATTCTCTTCCATTCTTCCCATTCCAGGTGGTGGTGGTGATGTGCCATGGAGTCGGTTCCAATTCACAGCGACTCTGTATAAGGTTTCCGAGGCTGTAAATCTTTATGGTGGCAGAAAGCCTCATCTTTTTCCCACGGAACCGCTGGTAGTTTTGAACTGCTGATCTTGAGGTTAGCAGCCCGACCTGTAACCACTACACTACCAGAGCTCCTTTCCCATTCCAGGTAGTAAAAATATTTAATGGCCAACACAGTGTCAGTATCCTGAGCTCCTTATGTGCCCGCTCAGCCTCACACTTGGTACTAGGCAGAGGAGAATTGTTTCATTACCCTTAAAAAGTAGAATCATTGTTCAAATTAATTACCAGGTGGCTTCTAATTCATGAGAGAAATGTGTGTTTAAGAGCAAGTTCAAATGTAGCAAGTCCAAATCCTCTTATGAGAGAGTTCTCGACTCTTTAGGAATGTTCATTCATATATTACCTACAAATGGTTGTTAATTTGAACTTCAGATACATGCTATATAGAAAAAGAAAGAGGTGGAGGTCAAAGAAAAGATTGATTAGTGCAAATGACTTAATTAGCAATGACATTTCATTAAAGTAGCATAAAGGCCTGGCTATTTGCTTAGCATGTAATATTGCAAAGTCAGAGAAAATGCTTTCTATGCCTTAGAAAATTCACTGAAGGCTTCCTGTTACAGGGTGGAATCAAAAGGCAATAATAGCATTAAGATTTGTATGCTTCCAAAAAGAGTAGCTAGGTCCTTGGGGGTTTCATACTGAAGAAGAACAGTGTGGAGTACTGTAAAACTTTGTTGAACTTTATGCAAGTCATTGCACACTGGGTTTTAAGATTTTTGAGAAGAGAATGAAGGAAGAGGATGAGGTCATAATTGTAAAGGAAATATATAAACTTGTACTTTATTTTTAGCAAGGAATGAAACAAATTCCTTAGCAGGGATTCCCTATAAGGATTGTGAAGCTCAGTCAAGTTTTTCTGCCCAACTGGGTTGGCTTCCTGATTCCTCTGAAACCTCTAGAAAACTCTTATCTGAAACAACTAAACAAATCCAAGTCTGACTTAAGTTTCACCACTCAGCCCTTTTCCTCTTCTCTCAGCAAAAGAAAAAGAACCTCAAACTATAGGCAAAAGATATGTCTCCTGTCTCATTCCACTAGCTTTTCATCTGCTAGGATCTGTGTTCGCAATTTTAGCCCATTACATTATTTTCTGGTCTCATGACAGAACTTAAGTGAATCTGCCAGTTCAGTCAGGAACCAATGATTTTTCCATTAGATAATTTTAAAATTGAACTCAGTATTTAACATGTCATTGTACGTGAGTAAAAGGAGTACTGTACATTGGAAGAGCACTTAGATTTCCTGGCTGCTCATAATTTCAGGGTGGGGCCCACTCATGCGCCACATCTGAGAGGAGAAGGCTAAGGGTTCAAAGACAGAAAAGTCAATGTAGCAGAAATTTGATTTCCTTCAGATGGACACTGTCTGAAAGAAATCAAGCCATCTGTTCTCTATGGTGCTTATATGCTGGGTGACAGCTGTCCCCGTCTACCTGTCCCTGGCACTGTGCCTTCCTACTGGTCACTGTGAAAAATAGATCACACTGGACTCAGAGGCCAGAATCAGGACAAGTTCCCGAACCTTTTCATCTGAAGCCCATCACTTTTGCATACAATAAATGTAGCATTTATTTCTCCTTGCAAAACATGTGGGTTGTCTACCAACCCCACTCCCAAGAAATAGTGAAGCATTTTGTGGCATATAGTCAGAAAATAAGAAGAGATCATAGGAAAATTTCACTCCCCGTAAGCGTGTATTAATTGATAGCTAGGATCAATTGTACCTGCCTTTTCTTGAAATTTTTAAGGTGTAATATTTGTAAGCAACAAAGCGATCCGTCAACATTTTTTCACAACTTGCTAATCAAGAAGGATTCATATTAAAACAGACAATCAATTTCTAAAATGTCATCCCTGAAAGGGAATGGGATATAGAGTATTTTTAACTGATAGAATTTACCAGTCTGTTTTTCCCCTTTGAAAAAAAAAAAAAAAGCTACCATTTGAGATTTGTATCTGAAGCAATTACTCCATTAGTAATGATGTATCAGAAAATCAGTGAGCTGGTATAGCGCTCTTGCACCACTGAAGGGGCTGGACTGGGTCTGTGCATCTTACTTCCTTAGAGAATATGTTTTATTATGACCTTAACTATAAATACCTATATATAGGAATAGGATTTTTTTCTCTCACACACACCCCCTTTTAATCATTATCACTTAAGTGTAAACCACCACTTTCCCTGACCCCCTTTTCTGGAAAAAAAAAAAAAATGCACTTTAATTCCTTAAAAAGAAAAGGAAAAAAAAGGTGGCTGTTCCTAACCCTGAAGCCAGATTACTTCAGGAGGAGAGTTGATTGAGGAAGGAGAACTCTTGCCAGACTGTAAAAATAACCAAACTCCTGAATGTAAGCAGATCAATACTAGCATCCATTTTTAGACTCCCTCATCCCCTGCCAGGGGGAAAAAGAAAACAACCAAAATCCAAAATGTGAAAAAGCATTTTCAAAATGCTTACCCCAAGTTTGGAAGTTTTGCTGAGGAAAGTACCCAATGTTAAGAGAGTTATTTTCTCAGCTACCAAATTATGAGGAACTTCTGAGTTGTCTTAAGGGAGTGAAAACACAAAGGCTATGTGTTCCGATCCTGACTTGTGTCAGATTTGTTCTCTCCCTTTATCTGACAGGTGTTCTCAGTTTCTCCTCCTGTAGATTCTGTCCTTCCTTTGGTGACAAGCCTGTCATTCTTGGTGGCATTGCATGTCTCCTAGAGCTCCAGGAAGGAGCCCTGTTGTGTCTGGGGGTGGGGGCAGAGAACGAGGGTTGGGAGATTGAAAGAAAGAGTAAAGATAGGAATTTATAAACATTTAAAACAGTTTAGCAAAAGCTTTCTCGTTGAACAGCTTTAAGAACAATGTGAATGAAATCTTAGCAACTTGGTTAGTAATCTGAAAAGTCTATTAAATGTATACTTGAAATTCTGTTGGTATAAAAAAATGCATTTTCTTCTTTATTTTAACACTGTGTAAAAGAACATTATGCATGTGAGTGGTTTGAGAATTAAAAGGTTTAATATTCAGATTTGGATCTGTTTTTCTGTACCTAAAGATTAATTTGTTTGAAATGTGATGGGACTTTGAGAATTCAAGGTCCCCCTTCCCTTTCAGGATGGCCACTGTGTTTGAAGGTGAAGTGGTAATATATCTCCCACCTTCACTGTCTTGACCCAGATGTGTTCACTGGGTAGAGAACAATTGAAAGCATCATTTTACCAAATGTTACAATGTGTCTTCATTCTCTTTTCTCCTTATTTTTTTTTCAACCGGCAATGCCCAGTAATAGTTGTGATAGGGGAATAGTTTTATTTTACTTCTAGTCACAAACCAAAATAGAAAGTGCAATGAATAAGAACACGTTAGTTAACACAAGGGTTGGCTACTCTGCCCATGAAGATAATAGTGTTCAAAGCAACTTCCCTTATAAGAACCAGGAAGGGCCTGTTGGCCTTGAAGATCACTCTGTTGAGGTTCAGTGAGCGGCCAGCAATCATGATGGCGGTACTTGCTGCTGCTTCACTGCCTTCCTCATTTACCTGTCAGCCACAAAGGAAACAAAACATTAGCTAGTCTGTAGTTCATGACATCCACAGACAGCAGTTCCTCAAAATACTATTTGTTTTCTCATACAAAGTACAGTTGGGTTCCTACCAGAATCTGCTTTTGCTGCTCTCTTCATCCAGTAAATTCATGAAAACGTTTCGTTAGTCTAAAGTCTTATGCAAGAGAGTCAGTGCACGATAACCCCTGAACCAGAAGTCTAAATGTATACAAGGTTGCCACGTTTCTGGCTGGCACCATTGTACATGGTATTACAAGAAGATTATTTTGTACCACCCTCTAAAAGAAAATTTAAGGCAAAATTAGAGCTCCGTAGTAGAGATAGTTTTACTCTTGGAGCATTAAGAACCCAGATGTAACTTTCCCCATCCAGTTACTCAGGACCAAGGGCCTGTAAAAAAAGGAGAATCCATTGGCTGTTTGAAATATTTCTTGCAGTAACCGATTAGTGAAATTTGAACATGGCTAATAAGGAGAATCACAAGAGGTCTAGAGAGAGCTCCTATGAAAATGTTCTTGGAGACGGAGACCATCACTGTACTATCCATTGTCTCTTAAGTGATGGCACTGCTATTATAGAGCTGGTTAACCGTGTTCTCCTTCCCTCTCTTCTCTCACTCCTACCCCTCTTTTCCTTTTTTCTTCCTTACCTCTTAGCTCCAGCACCTACACTTTCTATTTCATGGTCATTTTAGAATCAAACGTGTCAGCGGATTAGAGCTTTCACATGACCAGAATCCTTTTATTCAAATCAGGGTCAGCTCTCAGGAGGGCTATACTTAATTAAGTTCGCATGGATTAGGTTCTTAAGGTTTCTAGGGTAAAAACTTTGTTCCAAGATCCATGGAGGAACTTTGGGTCATTATTTAGCAAGCTTAGGTCAGCTAAAATGAATCCAGACCTCTCTGCTGCTCTTACTAGTAACTCTATCCTCAAGGAGATCTGAGTTGGCCACTTCTACTTAGAGTCCTTTTTGTTAAATGCCGGCAAGTCATTCCAACTCACAGAACCCCGTATAGGGTTTTCTTACCAGTAGCTGGTAAGTTTGAACTGCCGACCTTGTAGTTCAAACTGATCGTACAGTGACACACAACAGGTTCCTGGAAGAGCATTTTCAATAATAGTTTAAACTGTGAGGATTTGCCTCCCCTGCAGAGCTTTTGAGTTTTTCTGGCATTTCCATATGGAAGGTAGTGTCAGGAATGTCACTTTTATTTCCAAAACCATTAATTTATGCATCCATATAAAACCCCTTGTTCTAACCTCAATACCTTAAGAGATTGGTATGCTACACATTACTAACATCTATTGTCCTACAGGTTATAGCCCCACATGAAGAGTTTTGGTACCTCGCTCTTGGTCTTCCTGTCCACCCCAACTCATGCCATTATTTAACCCAGACGGTTAGAACTCTTGATAGGAAACCTATCTAACACCCAGTGTGCATTACCTTCAGTCCTCTGAAGCAAAATCAGTGCATGGCTACATCCTGGACTTGCTATCTCTTAGAACTGCTCACCTATTGAAATTCTAACTACACTATCCTCTCAGACTATAACTTGTTTTTCAAACTTACTTCCTTACTCCCATTAAAATTAATCTGACCTCTTACTAACCCTTGCTCCCTCACTTTCCCCCACTAACTGCACATCTACTGAAGTTGGATCTTGGAACTGTGACTTATCTTTAGTTCCAATTTCTTCAGTCTAACGACTTCCTCTAACATTGGCCCATCTCCTTTCCTTCTTTGGCTCCCTTGAAAGACTAGCCTATTCCTGTAGTTCCCAAATCTAGTTGTACATCACAATTGTAAATATACAGATTCTCAGGCCTCACTCCAGACTCTCCAAGTCAAGTTTTCCAGATGGCTAATGCTGCCGGTCCATAGTTCTATATTTATTTGTGAATCAGAAGTTCCACAGGCTGTGTGTATCTCCAACAAAGGATGCCATGGACATCAGGTGGAGAAACACTAGGTTTAACAGTATTCAACAGTTTTCTTCACTGTAGGACTTTTTAGACCACAACACACTAGTGTGCATTGTTAATCTCCCAGGAAGAAGATAGTAGGTATATTTGACTACATACTTTTTTTTTTTGTTTTCTACAGTATAGTGTAGTGTACTAGTTCTCTGGAACACACTTTGAGACAATGATACACTCATTGCCTACCCCACCTTACCCTCCATTCGCTCTTTAACCATTACAGCTAGGCATGTGCCCCACTATTCTGCACAAATTTCTCATAGAAAAGTTAATCATTTCTTATGGTCTTACTAGATGCTCCTAAGTTTTCATGAGTCTGTACTCTACTGGCTTTCCTCCAAATTCTTTCTCAATGGCCCTTTATAACTCCTCTCTCTCCTCACCCCAGAGGGCCAGACCCAATCAGTTCTCTTCCTGTACTTTGTGTTTGAGTTGTAGGAGACATGAGAGGAAAAAGGTAGGACAATTAGATTACAGAGGTTTCAGGGGAAGTCTGGACTAAATCAGGTCAAAGAGAAGAGGGGCCACAGATTTGGGGATTAACGGACATGGCAATATCCTTTTCAACACAGCTTCATCTGCTGTTCATGTGTCTGCTATCTTTATATCATAAAAGTCAGAAGAACAAGAACTCCAAAGTTGCTAACCAGACACCGCAGTGAGGTATTGAATAATCAAGTGGCAGAGAAGCAGCATAGCAAGAGAGCAAAGGAAGGTGTACTTACCTCAAGAAAAGCCTTATGGAATGCATCTGAGACAAAGAGGTCTTCCCGGCCTTCTGCAACAATACCTGAAAGGAAGATCAGAGAAGGCTCAGTGAAATGGGTGAAAAAATTTGGCTTCAACCCATAGAAAGGAACTGAGTTTGAATTAAGAGATTCTTTTGGAGCTTTTGTGAAAAATAAGAAGAAATACTGGACCCTCACTTAATGTCACAAATACATGCTAAAAATAATAAAATACTTTTGAGCTGATGTTCAACCTGACACCTATGAATTTACTCTCATGCACCATCTTTTGGGGGTGGGATTCTATACCTAAAGAAAAATGTATTCCAGATAGTAGGATTAACTTTCTTTCTACTCCTAAAGTCCGGTAACATTTCTAAGAGAGACTGTTTTTAGACCTACTTTTGTTTTTTGTTTTGTTTTTTTTTTAAGTTACTTTAATGCATAGTTTAAACAGGAAAGGAATTCTGGTAGTATAGGGATTACAAGTCGGGCTGCTTCCCTCAACATCGAAACTACCAGCTGCTCCTTGGGAGACAGATGAAGCTTTCTGCTCCTATGAAGTTATACAACTTTGGAAACTTTATACAGGGTCTCTGTGAGTTGGAACTGACTCCATGGCACATCACCACCACCACCACCAAGTTACAGGAGCCAAACCAGCTAAATACCACTACTGAAGTATCACAACTTTGACAAGGTTACATGTTTCTGTCCAAGTGGCCTTAAGAATACACATGGACTCTTTGGAATGTCAGGCAAAGGGCTTATTAAATATCTGCTCCATCTGCTTTGAGGGACCTAGCTGTCCCTGTGTCTTAATCACGTGTGTCTCTTTACTCTGCATCTTCTCAAATTCCTTCCCAACTAGTCCTATCTCCTATGTCTGTTACAGACTCAACAGCATATCAGTGGTATTGGGCTTGTAGAGATCTTAGAGCAACCTACCACTTCGACAAAAGCAGAAACTGAGGCTTTGAAAGAAATGATTACTAAAAGTTGGTGGTATAACTGGATTTAGCTTTCAGATGTCCTGGTTCATTGCTCTTTTTCTATGTTTTTTGCCTCCAGCTCTATCACTTTGGTCAGACCACTCTGGGGGCAGGGAGCTCAGGAAAGTCTTTCCTTCACTAACCGGGAAGCTTGGCCTTTTCAGGGGTGAACAGGTCCACAAGACCCATGTCTTGCATCCGTTCCTTCACGCTGAAGCTGTCCTCAATGCGGAAGCGGGGCATGTAAACCGCCAGCATGGTCTCCTCCAGCTCATCCAGCCATTCCTGCTGCACTTCCTGGGTGAGTTCCTGTTCTACCTTGGCCAGGCTCTTCCCATCCTTGGGCAGGATGAGCACCATGGTAATGTCATCACCTTTGAAGGGCAACTCAAGCACTTGCGTGCCTCCTGCCACACGTCGATAGCGGAACTTGCCTTCCTGGTACATCATAGATACCGAACATGACTCCTCATTGGCCTTGTGGAATGGTTCATTTCTTGTGTTTTCTGGGCTAAACTTTGACTTCCACAGACCCTAGAAAAAGTGGCCAGATGGGAGAATTACAAAGCAAGACTAAATACATCCATAGGGGAATATATATATATACATACATACATATATATGTTGTTAAGTACCGCCAAGTCGATTCTGACCCATAGAGACTCTGTAGAAGGTTTCCAAGGAGTAGCTGGTGAGCGTGAACTGCCAACCAAGCAGTTCAAACGACTTTGCGGTCTGACGCATTAACCCACAGTACCACACCAGGACTCTCTCTCTCTCTCTCTCTCTCTCTCTCTCTCTCTCTCTCTATATATATATATATATATATATACACACATACATACATACATATACGTTGTTGTGGAGTCAATTCTGACTCCTAACAATGTTGTAAAGGGTTTTCAAGGAGAAGCTGGTGGGTTTGTACCGCTGACCTTGTGGTTAGTAGTTCAGGACTTACCCTACAGTACCATACCAGGACCCATACATATCTAGAGAGATTAATAAAGACTGAAAGGACAAAAAGACTAACAGGGACTGTGTCAGGGTGATGACCAAAGATGTTTTTCCTCCCTTGTGTACTTTTATGTATTTCCTAGATTTTCAGTGATAACTATTTGTTTTTATAATCAGAAAAAATAATAACTAGAAATCAGAACAACCAGCAAATCTCTTCTCAATTTTAAATTGAATTGCCTTTTGCTTTTTTACTTCCCATCAACCTCTTCCCCAAACACAGATGACAGTCCCCAGGGGTCATCTGGAAGCTTTGTCAGGGAGAAGGTGAGTCCTGACTGGGTTTCTGTTCAGAGTGGGAGGGACTCTGAGATATTAGATATAAAACACTCTTTTTAAATTTCAAAGTTGCAGTTATCATCTCTTATTACTTTTAATCTCTTTGATTTTAAGACAAATCATTTAACTCTTCTAAATGTTGGTACTTTATCTATAAAACTAGGAGCTGGTGATATTTGCAGAGTGCTTACTATGTGCCAGGCACTGTATGTAGAATTAGAGGACTTAGAAAAGTGTCAGGTAACTTATCCCAAGTTTACGCAATCAAAAATGGCAGAGTCAGGATTTAAGCTAGGTAATCAGTCTGATGGCCCCATGATCTCACTTGTGAAATTGTGAGGATCAAGAGAAATAATAAATGCTCAAGTGCGCTGTAAACTGTTAAGGGCAACACAAACGGTGGAAATATAGCCTGCTCCTTTCCCAGGCTTGGGAAACCCCAAGAGACAGTGGGGTTGGTGACAGCAGATTCAACCCCTTGGAACTGTAGAAGAGGAAAAGATGAAGCAAGTCTGTCCCAGGATGGGCAAATGGAACTTATTTTTCATCTGTCTTAAACTGAAGTCCTGCTGAGTGTCAATGATTTGTTTATTCCCATTACACTCTCCTTAGCCTCCTTCCCAGATTTAATCAAGTTGGAACAGCCTTTAGAACTCTTGACTTTTCTGAGTACAACTAGACTCTCTGAAAGGTAAAATGATTGTTCTCTGCTAAGTTAGAAGTGAGTCTGGTCTCTAAAGGTTCAGAAGCTTCAGACAAGGTACCTTAGAGTTGCTGTAAAAACTGCTTCAGATGATGGACAAAATCTCAGGATTGCCAATAGAATCTGTTATTTTGTTCCAAATATCAAAGTAGAGTTAACCAGACGGCAAAAATTGTCATATACATATGAGAGTTTATCACTTTGAAGCAGGGTGTGCTGGTTTTATGAATATGAACATTCTGTATAGTGCCAGCCTCCTAGGCCCAGTCTAGCAACCATGTCTTGTAGACTGTGAGCCCAGACCATGTGTGAACAATGTACTTACATAGGAAACCCAGTGGTGTGGAAAAAGGGGGCAGCGGGGAGGGAGATGGGAAGCAGGGGGAAATCTCCAGACCATTTTGAATACCTTGAAGTAAATGGTATTAACCAGCACCAAGACAGTGAGCTCATTGATGGTGTCCGGGGGAATGACATCAGTGATGCGCCCTTCGGTCTTGTTGGCCACCCAATTGTTGATGGTCACTCTGGATTGCTCTGCATTTTCCTGAGGGGAACAGGAAACAAACCTACCCACCTGTGCTATCCAGTCAGCTTCTCTACTTACCCATCATATGCAGCATTTTATTTTGCTCATCAGGTTTCTGCCCTTTCCAGTCATTGGGTTAAGATGTAATCACTCTAACTCACGCTGAGAAAACCTCAGATTACTACTGTAGTGCCATGAATCTTTCACATAGTTAATAGATATTAACAGAAGAAAGAGAAGGAAAAGAAAACAAAGAGAACTGGGAATAAAGGTATAGAATAGAAGAAAGGAGAAAATCATCTGAGGCGGAAAAAAATATTCTCTGATTAAAATTATGTGGAACAAAGAAACCAACATCACAAAACAAAACAAAAAATAAACACAGCAAAATGACAGTAATCAATTCATAATTACATTGAAAGTAAATGGATTAAATGTGCCAGTCAAGAGACAGAACATAATGAATAAGAAACCAGGTTCTTTCAATATGCTTGTATACAAGAGACACATCTAAAAGATGAAAACAGCCTAAATGTCCATCAATAGAAGAATGTTTAAATAATTTTGGTACATACAAACAAGGGACTACTATGCAAATGTTGAAGAATAATGATGAATCTGCAAAATGCCTCACAACATGCATGAACCTTGAGAACATTATACTGGGTGAAATTAGTCAATAACAAAATGATAAATATTGCATTTGACCAATGTTGTAAAAAGTTAAAAGAAGTTTGTCTTAATAAAAGAAATTATGATCTATTATGGTTAACGGAGGGGTGAGGGTGGAGGGAAATTACTCACAGGCTAGAGGATAGACGAAAGTTAACATGCATGACAGGGCAGGCGATATACAACAAGAGGGAGGTGAGCAGAGGAAAGATGAAGGTAGCAGGAGACATAGGGAGGCATGCAACAGTTAAAGTGAATAGAAAGAAATACTGTTGACTATTGGTATGTCAAGGGGACTACATTCATTGTAATGAAACAAAGTATATGTTGAATGTAAAATTGATGATCTGCTCTGTAAACCTTCACTCAATTCATAATAAAAAGTTTTTAAAAAGGAAAAAAAAATCTGTGATTATGGAAAACCTCAGTTTACTGGAACAGAGATTTTAAAACATGTTCCATGGGAATCTAATGAGTGGGTGGGAGGGAAGGCAGATACCCATATGGTCATATAAGCTTGGGAAATGCTGACTGAATAAAGTTAATAGGTTTCTTTATTGCAGGATTTCTCAGAACACTTAATAGGTTCATGGACTTTTTTAATCTCCATGAGGAGAATAAAAAATGCATCAGATACCAATTTTACTTGATCATGGTAACTTTGTTAATTAAATAAAGTATTTCTAGGACAAGCCTCCCCAGAATACCCTTTAGTATTTTTTGAATTCAATGGATGAAATGAAGAATTCATTATTTAACTTTCAGAGCAGACATTACAATCTAACTAAACCATGTTTACTAAGTTGCCATTAAGTTGGCTCTGACTCATGGCAACGTTATAGTACAAGCAGAACATTGCCTGTCTTGCTCCATCTCCATGGTCTTTGATCTGTTTGAGCCCGTTTTTGAGGCTATTTGAACCCATCTCACTGAGGGTTTTCCCCATTTTCACTGACTCTCTACCAGATCTAAACCATACATACCATTGGTTTCCTCAGGATTCAATTAAGAATAACTACCCCAGGGACTCTGACTTGTAGTCTCCCCCTTCACCAGCACTCAGCACAGAAGTGTTCATTTGGACCCTACATCTCTACCGCCTCCATCTCTTTAATGGGGAAGAACTCTGAGAGGAGCAAGGCAATCTGCAACTCACCTTGAAGTCCAGGGGCTGGAGCTTGGCTCCATATACCATCTCACTGATGTCCTGGTAGGTTTCATTGAAGGTGAGAGACTTGTCTCCAAAAAGACGGTTGGCAGATACCAACTCAGAGGATTTGTTGGCTTTTCGATAGAGTCGGCAGTTCAGTTTGGCAAAGAAAAAGTGGATCTGATCGGATGTTTTCTCAGAGATGGTATCAAACTTAAACACCTAAAGGAGCCAAATACAAATGGTGGTGGATATGGCCGTATGGGGGTAGCCTGGCTAACATGGGTGGTGAATACAATGCCAGTGACTACCTGACCTGCAGCTACCTCAATTGTGAGCTCCTCCAAGCATAAATGCTCAGATCGTGTTTTCAAAATGGATAAATGAATAAATAAATTTAAAAAAAAAAGAAAGTAAGTAAGACTGGGATATCACCTAAAGTCCCTAAAGGGTTCAGGGTCAACACCAAGATGTTTTCTTCCTGGAATGGGAAAAGTGCTGTTGGTGGTTTGGGCAGAGAGGAATCAAGGACAGTGTCCCTTCTAGATACAAACATTTCCAGGTTACCTCCTGGGACCAGCTCCTTTCATGGGCTCTGGGATTGCTAGTGGCAGGAATGAGAAACAAAAAGAGTTATTCTATCAAAAAAAGGATTAAACATGCCCAGAGTTTCAGGATTCAAATGGACTTAAAGATCATCTATATCAGTTATGACCACATGAAACTCAGACTCCAGTCTCCCACCAGCACCAGCACCTAGCAAAATGGATGAGGTTTTTACTTTCTTTTCCCTTCCACACACTCTGAGACATAAGAGATTTGGGGGCCTTTTCTGATGTTCTCTGTCTTTAATTGTCCCAGTTTAGCTCCAGTTAGTACTTCCTTGGGGACGATGTCATTTCCTAAAAGTTCAGTGCTGATTCCTCTTTTCCATCCCACTTGTGCCCTACTTTTTTAACACATAACATTCTGTTCATCTCTTTCTCAGGAGAAGAGGACCTATACGGCGTGATTGGTCTGGAAGCTATGTTCTGCTTTTGCTGTTATATAAAGGGTCACATATAAGATCTCTCTTGAGGACAGAGAAGGAGCCCTGCTGGCATAGCATTGGGCTGCTAATCACAAGGTCAGTAGTTTGAATCCACCAGTTGCTCTGAAGGAGAAAGATGAAGTTTTTGTTCCCATAATGATGTACAGCCTTGAAAAACCTACATAAGGCTATGAGTCGGAATAAACTCGATGGCAGTGGGTGGGTGGGTGGAAACAGAGACATGGAGGATGTGGAAGAGCTTTGAGACCAATATATATGTTGTTTACTGAAAAGTCCAAAGCAGTCAGTATTGTCTCTAAAGCCACAGTTTCTTTTATGGAACAAAGACTTGATTACCCAGCCCAGGGGGCTGAAAAGAGGTGATGAGGTCCACTGGAAATATGGTCTCCTAAGATCCACAGACAGATGGATCAGCCAGGTGGCATCATTGATGGCGTCAAGTGTGGCAGCGGTAGTGAGGTTGGCCCAGGATCGGACATTGTTTCGTTCTGCTGTGCATGGGGTCGCTATGAGTCGGTTCCTACTCGATGGCACCTGACAACAACAACAACAAGATCCACAGACTCTAGTGTCTGGGTGTCAGGTATAATACTGTTCCACACTGAGTTATAGGGAAGTCATTGTACCTCCTGGTTGATTATCTTTGAGTATTCTTGCTTCCAAGGTGTGATCTAATCCAAAAAAGGCCAATCAGGCATCCAAGCCAAGAGCAAATTCCTATGACTTATTAAGTGTAATCAGTGGCTTCTTAATCCATGGATTTTCTTATATCATGCTTCCTTCTTGTCTTCCCCCTCACACAAAGGCGAGAAACTAACTCACTGCCCTGAAATGATCAGTACTATAGAGAACCAGAAAAGGTTTTCACATCCTTGAAGATTCTCTTGGCTTTCCAGAACCCTGAATTGAAATAGAGGCCCTAATATCCTCATGGAAAAGAGCTGGTATGACTGAGCTCACAAAATGGTAAGCTTCTCCAAGGCAGGAACTGAGAATCCTCACTACTTAGCACAAGGCCTGTTACAAAGGAGATGTTAAGTAAATAAACATGTAAAAGACCAGATGGATGAATAAGTATCTAAATGAAAGAACCAGTAAAAAAGACGTCAGAAGAGACACAAGTCTTCTCCCATGTTTTTGTTGTTGTTGTTGTTAAGTGTTGTCAAGTTGGTTCTGACTCATAGCAGCCCTGTAGAGGGTTTTCAAGATGCGGCTGGTGAGTTTGAACTGCTGACCTTTTGGTTCACAGTGCAGTGGTAATCCTACAGCACCACACCAGGAGTCTTCTCTCACTTTAAGGCAGCCCAAAAGAGCAAACTCAGACTTACAAAGCAGACACCCAGGTGGTAATTCTTTACCTAATTAAAAATAATATTCAATAGAGAAAAGGTTTTCCAAGGAAACCACAACTCTTAGAGAGCTCCCCAGTGTCTTTTAGTGTTGAGTTAGGAGCTATTGGACCTATTGAAGTCTGGAAGGTGGCCCCAGCACAGACACTAGGAAGGAAGACATTGCACTGACTATACCTCCATCAACTGCTTGAGAGTGTTGTCACAGGCACCCAGCTTAGTCATAGCAAAAGCTGTGGAGATACTCAGAGGTGACAGGAAAATGTTGTCATTTTCATTCTTGGAGTCGGCCAGGTGTTGATAGAAGGCAGTAGCAAAACGGGAGTTGGCCTTGGACAGTTCCCAGACCCGCCGGTTGGTGGCCTCAGGGATCTTCTGTTCTGAGACCTCCTCCTCAGCTGCCTTCTTCTCTGGTGAGCGGTAAATGCACATGGGATTCACAGGAATGTCCCGGGGCTTGGCAGTGCAGATGTCCTCCACAGGGTTCCAGTGGCAGGTTGCACAGCCCCAGAGACCAACAAGCAGCAAAGACAGAAGACATACCTTCCTACAGAGAAAGAAAGAAAGCAGAATTAATTTGCTGAGAAGCGTCTACCCCACTAGGTCACCATTGACTTGCCGCAGTAAAGCCTAAGATTCCAGCCCACCTGGTTAGGCCAGGAGAGGGCCAAAAGCCTTTGAAAAAGTACAAACCCATTACTGTCAAGTGGATTCTAACTCATAGTCACTCTCTTGTAGGGTGTCCAAGGCTGAAATCTTCATGAAAGTTGACTGCCACATCTTTGTCTGGTGGAGCAGCTGGCTGGAACTGCTAACCTTTCTGTTAGCACCTGAGTGTTTAACCACTGCACCACCAGCGCTCCTCTCTGAACGAAGCACAAAGACCCCAAAATGAGTCTAATCCTAGACTCCTTTCAAGTGACTCTTCCCACTTGCTTGGACATAGTCATGTTAGAATTAATATTAACTACTGAATCCATTGCTCCTTGGAATATACAGGGTGGCTATGAGTTGGAACTGACTTCACAGCACTTTACAACAACAACAACGAAATCAGCAAAGGCCCTCTGGTGAAGTAGTGGGTTACTCGTTGGGCTGCTAACCCCAAGGTCAGCAGTTTGAATCCACCAGGCTCTGTGGGAGAAAGATGAGGTTTTCTGTTACCGTAGAGATTTCTCGCCTTGGAAACTCTTTACAGGGTTGCTATGAGTCAGAACCAACTCACACAACCACCACTACCACTGAATCAGCAGACAGCTATTAAAAGTAGTGTGCCTCTGCAGTCACAGGTGGAAGCTGTGGAAAAATAAGGCACTCAAAGCTCCAGGTTGGTGAGAAGACATATATACACCTGAAAATTATTAGGGAACATTAATGCTCAAGGAATGAAAAAGTTAAAACAGTATTTGTTGTTGTTGTTAAATGCTATCACATCAGTTCCCACTCGTAGTAACCCTGTATAGCAGGCATGGGGAATGCCCATCTTGTAGGCTTATAAAGCTTGCAACATCATTTGCTCCGGCCCTGCCAAGGCAACCACTGTTCCAGCCATCACATTAAGGGTAAGTTAATGAAATGTTTGACCAAATATAACATGTTAATTTTTAAGGTGATAATTTTGTATGGCCCCCAAATAATATCATAAGTATCAAAATGACCCTTAGCAGGAAGAAGGTTCCCCACTGCTGTCTAAGGTTTCTGAGGAGCTGGGCTTGAACTGCCAACTGCGACCCAGTGTTTATCCTACAGAGCCACACCGGGACTCCATTATGTGCTGTTGTTTTTAAGTGCTGTCGAGTGAGTTCCAACTCATAACAAACCTGTATAGGTTTTTCAAGGAATGGTTGGTAAGTTTGAACCACCGACCTTGTGGTTCAATGCGTTATCCTACAGCACCACACCATTTATATACTTTGTTGTTAAATAATATCAAGTAGTTCTGACTCATAACAACCCTGTATAGGGTTTCCAAGGAGTGGCTGATGAATTTGAACCACCAACCTTATGGTCCAGTGCTTATCCTACAGCTCTACACCAGGACTCCATTTATGTACTTCTTGTTGTTAAGTGCCATCACGTCGGTTCCTACTCATAGCGACCCTGTATAGGGTTTCCAAGGAGTGGCTGGATTTGCTTGAACGACGGACCTTTTGGTTCAAACCGACCTAGCAGTCCATTGCATTAACTTGCAGCAACATAACAGGATTCCAATCATTTATGTACTTGTTGTTGTTAAGTGCCATTAAGTCGGTTCCAACCCATACTGACCCTGTATAGGGTTTCCGAGGCTGTAAATCTTTATGGCAACAGAAAGCCTCATCATTCAACCATGGAACAGCTGGTAGTTTTGAACTGCTGACCTTAAGGTTAGCAGCCCAATTCATAATTTCTATGCTACCAGAGCTCCTTATTTATGTACTGTTGTTGTTGTTATGTGTCGTCGAGTTGATTCCGACCCATAGCCATCCTGTATGGGTTTCCGAGGAGCAGCTGGTGAGCTTGAACCGCCGACCTGCAATTCAAACAGTTTTGCAATCTGGCAGATTAATCTACAGCGCCACACCAGAGGGTGGGAAATTAATCCAACAAAAATTCAGGGCCTTCCACCTCAATGACATTTCTAGGGATCCAGTGGTTGGGGCATGTCAAGATATTCCTTCTAATTAAGGATGAGTTGTTACATTTGGGTGTGGTGCCATAGGATAAGCATTCTACCTCCAGGTCCGTTTGAAAATCAAAGTTGGTGTGTCAAACTCACCAGCCACTCCTTGGAAACCTTATACAAGGTCAGGGTGAGTCAGAACCAACTCCATGGCTCTTAACAATAACAACTACAACACTGTGACTCTGTGGGAGTCCTGGTGTGGCGCTGTGGACTAATGAGCTAGATCACAAGGTCGGTTTGAACCTCAAGGTCGGTAGTTCAAAGTCACCAGCTGCTCCTTGGAACCTCTATACAGGGTTGCTATGAGTCAGAAATGACTTGATGATAGTTATCAACAACAACTTTAGGGTAGGCACCCAACCACAAGGTCGGTGTGAACCATAAAGTCAGTGGGTCTGACTATGAGTCCAAAAAGACTCAAAGGCACTTAACAACAACTAAAAAGTACGCCTGGTGTAGTACTGTAAGATAAGCACTAGACCACAAGGCTGGTTTTAATAACAAAGGTCAGCAGTTTGACCCCACCAGCTGCTCCTCGGAAACCCTAAACAGGTTTGCTATGAGTCTGAACTGACTCACTGACACGTCATTTTTGTTAGATTAATTTCCCACCCTCTAGCTATGAGTTGAAGGAGCTCTGGTAGCATAGTGGTTACGAGTCAGGCTGCTAATCTCACGTTCAGCAGTTCAAAACTACCATCGATTCTGCTAGAGAAAAATGAGGCTTTCTGCTCCTGCAAAGATTTACAGCCTTAGAAACCCTATAACAGGGTTGCTATGAGTTTGAACCGACTCCATGGAACATAAACACCACCAGCTATAAGTCAAAACAATTCAAAGGCACTTAACAACAACAACAACACATAATTGCCTTGTCATTAAGTCTAGCGTCATCAATAATACTTCCGTACTAAATGCAATCAGTGTGATATCATCAATGTAATGGATTAGTGCCATCTCTTATGAAAGGGAAAGGTGATTGAGGTCCCTGCAATCAAGGTTCATGCTAACATGAAAGTTGCTCTGTTACTTGGGCGGTATGATCCACTGATCCAGTGGTTCTTGAAGTGCCAGTGGCAGATAAAGATGCTGTATGAAATCTTTGGCAGGTTCCCATTGGTAAATCACAGTACAGACCCTTGGGATTTTGGAGCAAATTCTACCTTCCTCTGCAGATAGTCTCCTTTTTTCTTTTTTTTTTAAATATAAGGTTTTATTGTGGATTGAGTGAAATTTTACAGGGCATATTATCAGTTTTACACTCAACAAATCATATACCTTGTTTCATTACATTGATTATAATCCCCTCCATGTACCATCAGTTAACAGTATTTCTCTCCACTTTAGCTTTTTCAAAAAAACACACAAACAAACAGAAAAAACACCACTCAGGCATATATAATAATTTACACCTCCAAAGGGCACATTCTGCAAGTCGGCTCCTGGCCACCAGCTCTATAGTCCTTCTCTTCTTAGTCCATGAATCTAGAGTCCTCAGCCGCTCCCTGTCTCCATGCCTCCATCTCTGCCTCCATCATCTCTGGCACTGCTGCTTCTCTGGATAAGGTCCCTCATTCTGCTTGTGCTTTCCTCTCTTGATGGTCCTAGGGTCCTCTGTTTCTGAACTGTAAGATTAACCACTCCCCTTTTTTTGTTACAAAACTTCTACCTTTAAAAGTGTGACAGTCGCGATTAGTCATGATAACAGTTATTCACTATTGAATCTTACGAATCTTATCCCCATCTCTTTTCACCAGACCCATCCAGACAAGATGACAGCCATCCAGTGGGGACTGTTTCTTCCCCCCCCCCATACTCTTAAACTAAACTCCCTCTTGAAACCTTGTAAGCCAGTCACTTCGTGCCTCTATTGCCCCCTTATTTTAGGTAGCCAATGTCTAAGTTGCCCTTCCCTATCTACCCTGTGTACAGAGCGGATAGCATTGATACTTGATGTGAAGACTCTTTCCCTCTCTGTTGCTATTTAGAGTAACTACCGCTCTGAGTATAGGTCAGGTTCATCATGAAGACGTATCTTCTGTCATTGTAGCTGTTCCAGTCTCCTTGTCCTTCCTAGTGGAAATGTCTCACCTCACTTACAAGGTTGTGGATGGGACTCAGGATTCCACCTAAGGTCCTATACTCTGTGAAGGCTTTGCATGAGGCCTATTTCACTGGGCAAGTTGTAGAACCCCTTTTAGGTATTCCAATCAGTTATAGGCTGAATGAGGGCTTACAAGTTTTCTCTAATCACGTTTCCCAACATTCCTTTCTATCCCACTCAAGTGTCTATTTTACAATAGTAGGCAAGGGAAACTAATATTCATACAGCAGTCAAGGATTTTAGTATTATTTACCCTCTTCAAGCTATACCTAGATCCCTGTATCCCAGAGCCCTGTTGTTCCAAGGTTGAGTATGCATCACTATTTGCCTCAGTCCCACTAGGCCATGCAAACCTGTCTCAGTGTTCCCCTATCTATTTTGTTCTTCTGCCTCCTCCCCGCTTCTTGATTGCCCTCCCCAACACCCAAAGTAAACCCCCCACCCCAGCCCTATTGTGGTTACCTTATATTCCATTAGTTCTTCCCTCCATTTAAGATAGTCTATTTTATCCAATTATCTACCTGAACTTCCCACCACCTGGATCTCTGTTTCTCTGTTTGCCTTCTTTCACATTGTAATTGTTTTGATCATAGACTGACCTCCCAGATCCTCTGTTCTTATAATTTTATTCTGTTCTTAACTCTTCCATTTTTTGACTGAGTTCAGGTTGATGCTGCCACGTACGCCATTCTGTAGTGGTTGTGTGTCCTTCTTGGTTCTCAGTCCATAGAACTTCCTTTAGGATGTTCTTCATAGCAGGGTTGGTTTTGGCAAAATC